AAACCCTAAACCCCACCCCCCCCCCCCCCAAGAAAAAAAATAATAATAAATAAACCTCATGCAAATCCCAAACCCTAAGCCTTAACACTGATCTCACGCTCGATGTAGCAATCTCTGCCTAGCAACCTTTCAGGTGTGAACCCTTCCACGGCACCGTCACAGTAGGTCTCGTCGATCTTATCGTAGCACTCATCAAAGGCTTTGATGGAAGCATTTAGCTTCGCGATCAGCCTGGGCTCCCAAACATCAGGTCGGGCTTCCAGGCTTGATTGAAGTCCTCAAAACTTATATACACCCCTATGGTTTATTTAAGAGGCTATAAGAAGCTTTCTGGAGAGACTTTACCTGGGGTCGCCGGAGAATATGTACACATCTTTGGAATTTGGTGCTGAGTTATTGGGTCATCTAGGGTTCGGGATCAACACATCACGTGCAGGCTTTGAGACTTCGTGTTGGAGTCACACATACACATACGTATAAGATATAAGTCTACCGGATTCATGGGTTTGTGTTCATCGAAGGGGTTTTCTGATATGGTTTACAAAAGATTTTAAACTAGGAGGTCCGGGTTTCAGGGTCCACAGACACCGTGCACAGGTTTATTGAGTCTTTTCGAGGTTTTGGTATTTGGGGTTATACACGATTTTCTATTGGAAGCTCAGGGTCTGGAAGCAGCGTTCTGGTGAACACGGCACCTAATCTGTGGATTGGTGTCTATCGAATATAAGGGCTTTATCGGATATAAGTTAGATAACTTTAAGCTTGGAGCTCAGGGTTCGGGATCAACATACGCACTGTGAGGGCTTTGAGTCTTCGTGTTGGAATAGACACATCTCGGGGGGCGGCTTACACGATCTTCCTTTGGAGGGTCCTGAGTCTTCGCGTTAGAATCGGCACATCCGGAGGGGTTCGGGTTACAAGAATTTTCTATTACAGGCTTAGGGTTTGGGATCAGCTTAGCATCCTGGAGAAAACGGCACCTAATCTGTGGGTTGCTGCTTATCGAGAAGGGATTTTCGGGTACAGTAAAGATCGATGACTTTAAACTTGGAGCTGGGTTCGGGATCAACATACACGGTGTGAAGGCTTTGAGTCTTAAAAATTCGCGTTAGAATCGGCACATCCGGAGGGGTTCGGGTTACAAGATTTTCTATTACAGGCTTAGGGTTTGGGATCAGCTTGGCACTCTGGTGAAAACGGCGCCTAATCTGTGGATTGATGTTTGGCTAAGCCCTTCGGGTTTCTATTTGGGGAGCCTATAGGAGAATGTCTACTAAGAGGAACTATAATGCACAATACAATCAACAGCCCACTATTCTGCAAACAAGGCAGTGCACGAAGCCACGGCGGGAGGGCGAGTGTCTTCGGGATGGGCTTCCAAAGACCCCAAAGCATTGGCGACCTTGAGGGAGCGGGTCTGGATAGCCTTCCTGTAGACATCGGCAACATCCTGCGGGCGCTTGCCTTCGAGCGAAGGCAGCCCAAGATCATCCTCGGCGCTCGGAGCTCCTTAGGAGTAGGCGTAAGCAGACTAAGGAATTCATGTGCTGATGCAACCCTGACAATTCCTGTATTGCTAAGTGTCCTCCACCAACAAGCTGGTGGTCACCAATGGTAGCATCGAATCCCGAAAGATCGAAGGCAACATCCCTGCCCATGGTCACCTCATCGCCATCGATGGCCATCTCCTGCTCGTAAGCCACGGTCTCAGACTGGCGTAGAAGCTGGGACTGCTTCATGGATGCTGTGCATTTGGTCTCGTACCAATACTTGAACGGCTTCTTGCGGTTGTACGTGTCGGCCTGGGATGAACTAGAAACAGTTTTGGGGGTTGTTGAATCTCACTCGAAGTCTAAATCATCCATTGCATGCTACAAATATTGAGTAGCTTTGCAGCTTTGGAGCACGACGGAAGCTGTTGGGGTTGGCATCGCCGAAGGCAACAACTTCACGAATACGATCCCTGAGATTTCCGAGCATGCATAGTCAAGTCTTTCGGGTAGAGAAAGCGACAGCCAGCTCTAATGATTTCACAACAAGTGGCTCAGGCACTTTCATGTCCCTCAATTCTTGCTCCGTGAAGTAGTCCCCGGATATCTCCAGGGAGACTGCCTTCTCCCTCTCAGTCAACACAACAACCTCCTTCACGAAGCTGTCCTGTACATACAGTCGGTTCCACGTGTCAGTCTTTTTAAAACACAAGGATCAGGAATCACCAGTAAGTACAGGCAGTAAGCATACTCGAGCATAGCAGCTCGTATGGATCGTGAGAATCCTTGTTGAAGTCGTTTTTGATAAGCAGCTTGAGAAGCTGCTCACGTTGGCTGCCTCCTGCTGTGTACTTTTCATGCACCTCTTTCGGTACAACAAGAGCGCCACTGCTTCGTGGGGCACACATTCGTCGCAGTCTCTGCCTCGCCGCTTGAAGGCCCACCACCTCCTCGGCACCCTCGCTTGGCTCCTTGGCGGCAGCCTGGCACGTAGCAGACTGCAAGGCTTCCTGCGCAGCTTCACGAGCAGCTGCACGAACAGCTTCACGCGTAGCCTCCCGTTCAGCCTCACGTGCTAGCTGAGTTTGGGGGTCGTTCTCAGCATGAAGCTTGGCACTCATCATGAAAAGCATCTGCTTCAGCTTGGCAATTTCAGCATCCTTAGAAGGTTCGGCAGAACCACCAGTGCTTCCATTGCCCTTTGCGATTTCTGCAGCGGCTACCACTGCAGCCTGCTTTGAGTCCATGCTCAACCCCAGGGCCCCAAACTGCTTCTCGAGCGATGCTACACCTGGGGTCTCGTCTGAGTCCACCTTGGAACCTGACGACGTACCCGAACCCTTCGAAGGATCTGCAGCAGCAACCAGCCCAGGATTCGCAACTGGAGGCGATGCAACCTGGGATCGTGGGCTTGGATGCTCATCACACAGCGACTTCGCATTGGTTTAGTTCATGCAAGCCTACTTAAGTTCATACGGGTTGCCTCATTGTTCCCATGGGGGTCCATCACAGTCGGTGGGCAGGGAGAGCCTTGGGACTCCATGACCAGAGTGTCCATGAAATTGATGGTTCGCTGAGGGGTCTTGCCGGGCTGGGTTTCAGCATCTGCGACAGGATCATACGGAGTCTTTGTCGAGGGAGTCTTCGAGGGAGTCTTCGATGGAGTCGACGGAGGCTTGTAAGGACTAAGGAATAGGTGCTTCGGCTTTGCAGGTGAGACATCCATGAGATAGGGATCCTCTGGGATGGGGGCCATTGTACATGGGCCTGGGGAGGGGCTGCCAAGCTGATCCTTGAGGGCCGTGAACAGCACTTGGTCATTCTCCAACAACACACAGTCCGAGTCCTCGGGCTCCACCGGCTCCACCTCTCCCCTATGCTTTTTAAGCGTCGCCTGCTGAGGTGAAGGAGTGGCCCCAGCCACTGGCGTGCACCTCGTACCACGCTTTGCATTCATCTCCTCGCGTAAGAGTTCAGCCTCGAGGGCCTGTCGGCAGGGTGGGGCAATTGATTTACTTCGGGTCGGGGGTTTATCGGGGAAGAATAGAAACTTCTGGAACCTATTCGAAGTAGGATTTGCTTAAGGGACAATAGGAGGGACCCGTAGAAGGGACCAGTAATACTAAGTCATACCCTATATAACCCTAACCCTTGTATACCCGTTACAAAGTCTCACAAAGCCCCTATATAACCCCAAGGAATCCTTTAAGGGTCGCTCGGTTAGTCTCTTGAGTTGCTTTTTAAAGTGACTCAAGTCTATATCACGGAAGCCACCTGTATAAACCCTATATTCGGCTTTGTTTGTATATACAAACCGAACCCTATACCCAAACCCTTAACACTATAATGCTATGACACCGGGGTTTTGCTGGGTGGCCCTCCAGAATTTCTTGTGGCTCAGAAGACACGCCACTAGCAGGGAAGCCACGACCTCTAGAGATTCCAGACTAAAGATCCTGCACCAGACCCTGTACACAACCTACATAAGCGAAAACAGCCAACACCACAAAACCTGGGTGTTGTCTCGGAGTCCTTGAGTGTGCTGTGTCAGATTTGTCTTTACATACCTGGCATGTTTTACACACACACACACCGTACATATTATTTCAGTTGTAGACTGTAGATAACCGGTATGTTCAGGGAGCCAGGGGTTGTTAAAGGCCTATAAGTTGCTGTAAGGGAATTGAGAGGGGATATATATATATATATATAGATAGTTGTAATTCAATAAGCAACTATATAGCTTTAAAAAAAGAATCCTGTACATGAGTATCAGACCGAACCAAAACATCCGAAGCCCCATTAACCCCGAAGCCCGAACCCTGTAAACCCGACGACACCCTGAGACTCAGTGAATTCGGCAGCGATCTAGAAGTTACCGAAGGAACAACAAATACCCTTTCAGTGTCCCCACCTTGATACCAGCATCAAGCTGCTCCTCCTTGACCTGCTGCCGGTCCACCGAGGAAAGCGCTTCCTGCAAAGTGGCCGTGCTGAATGCCTTCGATAAAAGGTGCCTCGTCTGAGACGTGCTGGCCTCTGACGACATGATCAGACGAGTCTAGCAGGGCCACGGCTAAAAACAGCTAGGCACTATAAAACCTTGAGGAGTCCCATAAAATGTGAGGCTCAAGGAATGACTCAGCAGCTGCATGTGGACAAGTCAACACGCTTCTGCGTAGAAGGCTAGCTGGCACAGCTGGCTCGTTTCATGCTGGATTCGGTGCAAGGATCTTCCATGATCATCCATGCATCGCTCAGAAGCCCAAGTCAGCACTAAGTAGCACCGTGGGCAAAAGAACTACCGAGGCCTCCTGCGCATTCACGGATGAAGCCAAGTAGAAGCAAGGATTACAAAGCCGTCGTGCATCAGGAATCATGTCTTATCTTTAGATCGTGCAACTTACAGACTTCAGCAGGCCCCGAATCCGGTGTGAGCAAGCACACACCAGTAATTATAAGTGAAACCGTTGCTAGATTGCCACCAAAGAAGCTTCGCCACGACTAGAACGGCTAGGACTAGGAATAAGTACGTATAAGGTCGTTAATTTTCATCAGTACCCCGGGAGATACACTTTATTCCCGAACATCAATCACAACACCAAGAAACACTGCTATGTCCTTTTGGCCAAAGCACTCTTAGGTGGAACAAGGCAACGGTACACAACATATGCAAAATAGGGCCCAGCACCTGAAAGATCAACCCCTTCCCCTCCCCTTCTAATGTTCATATTACCCGGACTGCCCTGATAACGGCGGATGAGGGCGGCTTCCACGAATCCTATGGCAACTGGATCACCGACAGCTACCAGGACCTTCATTTCTGACCAGGCATGGGTCTCTTTGGCATATCCAATCTGCCAGCGTTCGACTGGGTTGCGAGTGATGCCTATCTTGTATAGAGCAGGGTATTTGGCAAATACGGAGTTTATGGTGATCTCGCAGTGGTCCAAGATAGCAGAGGGTACCGTCGCTCCACATAGCTCGAAGACCACACGGTTCTCGGCAAAGGTCGTGCTTTGAAGAGATGGGATTACATCAGACTGCATTCTAGGCAATTCTGTAATCGTCTGAGGCAGCAAGGAAAGCCAGTGCCATGAGTCATGCTGTTGTTTTCTGGAAAGGGCTGGCTTCTTCACTGTGAGCTCATTTGCAGGCACTGTAGGAAGGGATGCCACTTTCAGTCGGACATGCAGGTCTTGGGCTAGGGCACGTAGATTTTCAATCTCGTCTTGGAGGGTCCTTATCTGCAAATCCTTGCCACAGCAACAAACAGCCGGCTGCGAGGCACGCCATTCCTCGAAGGTGACCACTTCGTCGGTCTCCCAGAGACATGAACCCAAGCTCCGAAGTCGTTTTGCCATGGTGTACACCCTTGCTAGTCATCTAGGGAGGCACATTCATAAGAGCTATCGGGTTACATCTCCATCCATAGGCTGCAACACAGTTTTCCCAATTCTGGTAGTGGGTTTGGCAAGTCTAAGTTGATGATGTTTGTGGCTTCTTCCACGATACCTAGCACAATCCGGAGGTTTGTAAAAGGCTACTGAATCCTGGAGCACGACACAACAATTGCATTCATTACTTGAAGCACTAAGTGGGCTGCTTTCTAGATTGTCTACGGAATTACTCATCTTTGTCGAAGCAAAGCACTTTTATATTGGGGGATTACCAGGACAACACAGGGGAACACACAGAATGGGCTAAGGAGTGCGGTGGGGAGCCTAAGGAAAGTGTACCGGGGCACTGGGCGTGTACGGGCGTGTACGGGCGCGTACGCCCGATCACCGTGTACGCTTATTTACGGCCTTTTGTCGGGAGAATCCGGCCTTTGTACGGGTACGGGTGTGTACGGGTTGTTGCGTCGACACTAGGTATGTGTACGCTTGTAGTCTCCAGGGGTGAACCAAAGCTAAGCCGAAGGGAAACGAACAGAACCGAACGTGCCCAAAGTCAACTCCACCCCAAAAGTCACCAATATAGAGCCTTATAGCAGCCTACCGAATCCCGAACCCATCCCCGATCGCCGATCACCCCGTGCCTACAGATGTTCTGCTTCGGCAAGAACCCATCTAAGAGTCTTTGTCGAATCCGAATCATTAAATGAGTAGCTGCACAACTCCAACAACAACAACCGACCATGGCAATACTTTCTTTCAGAGCTGGGTTGGCAAAACACGTCGCCATTCCGCACTTGGGATGATTAAAGACTTGCTACCCCTGACATAGTAGATCGCATCCACTAACTTTGCATCGTCCCAAAGGTCGCCCAGCTGCATTCTCTCGAACTCCTCGACGATGTTCAGGCCGGGAGTTGACTCAGCAGCAGGGGCTACAGACGGAATATTAAATTTTGCATACGACACAGAAATGCAGATCAGCCACAGGGGGATCAGATTTGGTGTTGGGGTCTGTCAACGAAGGCATAGTCTGGATGACTTTGCGGGCAAGGTGGAATGTGTATGTCCTTAGATTGAGTGCTTCTTCGAACAGGATTCGAGTGCTACACTCACATGTTCAGACACACTATACATCTCTTCAACGAAGCAATTGAGGATCCTGCTGTGTCGACTGCAAGGATCGAGTCCCTGTAAACCCAGCCCTGCCCTTCTTCGTCGGTCCACGAATAACAGTCTTCAACCGTGTCTTCCGTTGCATTTGAGCACGTGTTAACCTGCCATAATCGAAACGTCGTATCGAAGAGGAGTTGCTCCATAAGCGTGTCCTTTTCGGAGACGGAGACCCGAAATGCATCATCCAAAATGATTGGCTGAAAACCTTGCTGGGCAATCCGTGGATCAGCAGCTACACGACATTAGAAGTCTGCAGTCACTGTAAAAATGCACATCAGCTAGCAGCTAGAATCTTGAAGCGCCTAGAGTCGTTGACCCTCCCCAGCCAACTCTCCACCAATTCCGAAAGTCGCTCATGTTCGAAGAGCAAGCTTCCTCGAGGCTGCTCGACAACCCAAGTGGCACCGACGGCCACGGAGAGTTGCAGCAGCAGAGCCAATCTTCAGGGGATGTACGGGTTAAACATGCATCGGAGGCTTGCACACACATCTTGCTGTGAATACAGACACACATGAATACACGCACATGAGCAAGTGATATTGTGTGTGTGTGTAAAAACAACAAAGGCCTAGAGTAAATGATAGCTACACTCACTCATGTGTGTATAGGTACTTGTGTGTATATGTATATATGTACACTTACACACTTACACTTACATATATGTACTATTTATGACGTGTTTTGCACATATTTATACGTACATCCACACATATACATCTACATCTACCGCTACACATACATACGTGCATACATACATACATGCATACATACATACATAACAGGAAATAATTACGTGCAATTAAGTGCCTCAATTGCATATTAAAATCCTTCCTTACTTGAGCGGTACTTGCATACCTACACACAGACTGTCTGTCTACTTTTCTGAGCTCATGCCCCCAAGACACAGAAGCCTAAACCCTGGACCTCCCAAGCCTGCACCTTAACAGACCCTTGCCATTTAAGCAAGCAGGGTTTAGGGGTTATAGGGTTTTAGGGTTTATGGGGTTTTAGGGTTTATATAGGGTTTATATAGGGTTTAAGGTTTATAGGGTTTTAGGGTTTATATAGGGTTTAGGGATATATTATACATGTATTCCTTTTTTGTTTCATAATGATAAAGATTCCTTGAAGGATCAGGTCTCAGGGTTGTTCAGAGAGGCTTTCGGGGCTGTTTGAGATTTCGAAAATACGAAGCCACGGCCACGGTCAAGGATGGTAGATAAAGCCTGAGCATATAAAAGAGGATCTTAACTCCCCAATCAACCCGACAGCCTATCTAAAGTCCTGTGCAGCCGTTATATTGGAAGTATGAATACCCGTAACAACAGATTTCCGATACACCCAAAATCCAAAACCAACAACACAGAAGACCCCATCACTAAGCAATCCAACCCAACGGGACCACTTATGATTTCTCTCAAAGCAGTGCCTGCTTGCGAGAAGGTTGGCTGTCCTGACCTTTGGAAAGGAAGTATTTCCCATGGGTAGCAGAACCGACCTGCCAGTAGTATTTCGGGAAATCGTCACGAAGGATGAGCAGCACATGGCAAAGAGTGCCAGTGAGGAATCAAAGCGTAGCCGTAGCACAAGAAGAACCAACAGCCTCGGCTGTGGATGCAATTCTGAGTACCAACCTAGTTGGAGCATCAGCATCGAAGCTTCGCCGACACAATGTGTTGCTACATTGAGTGCTGGCAAGAGACACAAAGCCTGATGGCGTTGTTAAATCCATTCCCCCTTTTCTGAATGCATGGACATCATAGGAAAGGTCAGCAGCTGCAGCACGGATATTGCACACACGACACGCTCGTGAAAACTCTGCATGCCCAGCAAAAGCTTCCACCACGTCGTATGACTTCCGGTCGAGTTGAGCAACAGTCAGCCAGGAGCACAACAGGACCAACATAACGAAAGCCTGAAGAGCATGGATTTGCATGGATACTCTCAGTGCACGAACTTGTGAAGCTAAGGATCCTTTGGCGACCCCAGCCGGATGAGCCTGGCGACCACTGCATCCATCTGGGACGGGTGGACCATCTTCAAGGCACTGGAAGGTTTCGGGAAAAGCTTTCAAACTGCCCAGCCCGGGGTAATCAGTCTTCCTACTATAGACTTATTCAAACTAACGAAATGTCATAAGGGTTATGTAGGAGACTTTCCAAAGGGTTGTATAGTAGGTTATGGGGTTTCTGGCTGTTTCTATAAAAGGGCTGATCTAATCTGCAGGATTTGTAGTTGGGGAATACTTTTTGGCCATGCTGTTGTGTTACATCGGCGACACCTGCATCTCTATCAAGTCTGAGCCAGATGAGACTGGCCAACATGGTTTCGGAAGCTTGCACAACTTCAGCAGCTGACTGCACACAACCACATGTTATCAGGGGGCTTCGGGCGGTTCGACTGTCGGGGCTGGTCTCTACAGCTCCAGAACCTTCATGCGCAGGGTGGGCGGCGGGCGGACCTTCTCCTCTGGTGTGGCCGAACTTGACCGCGTGCATGAGGAGCGGCATCGTGTTGACCTGGGAGAGGTATGCCGATATTTTCGGATTTTGGTAAGGGGTTCATCAAGATCGAAAGGGAATGTTCAGGCTTTCGTGACACAGAAGGTTAGCTGAAGCAGTTCCGGCCAGAATTGTTTTGAGCTCCAATCTGTCCCACTGCCCGATAAACCTGCAGAGCTGTACTCTGATGCAAACTGAATTTGATGAGTGCTGCATTGCCTTTGGCATATCGTAGCAGCTGGAATCACAACTGCTTCTGCTCAAGAGCAGAGTTGAACAAAAGCTTTGGCACCACATTGCACGCAGGTTACCGGAAACGATTGCCCGGCAAACTAGACCTCAGCCCTGTTGGCAAACTGGTCCTTGATCCCTTCCAGCTTTGCTTGAAGTGCTGGCGTCATGTTGGCCTTTGCCTTCTCCACCAGATCAGCCTCACACACGGGGGAGAACTTCGTGAATTTAGAGGAGTGCTGGGAATGCTTGCATGGCAATTGTAGAAACTTATATCATTGATGTAGGCAAGAAGCTGCTCGCTTCACGAACTTCCAGATCGTTATCATCGCAGTGTGCTCGGGCACATCCTTGTAGCACAAGTAGAGAACCTGGGTTTAGGGTTTGTGTAGGGCGTACAGGTTCATGCAGGGTTTAAAATTGGGGCTAACAAATAAAATCCCAAAACCATATATATATATATATTCATATATTCCTTATTATGAACCCTTACCTTATATATATATATGTTATATATATATATATAACCCCAATCAAAACCCATAGCCCTATACAGCCCGACAAGTATGAGCCCTACAGGACACCACCGTCTCACCCGGATATTTGGGACAGTTCACATTTCGTCACCGAAAGCCAAAAGGGTTTTGGGGCAGGTGTTGTTTGTTCCCCACATTTCGGGTTTTAAAGGGCTTGCACATTTCTATAAGCACATATCTCTCTGTGTGTGTGTGTATATGTATGTATGTATATATATATATACATACATACACAGAGAGAGAGCGAGAGAGAGACTATACGTTGCAACAAAAAGGGGGTCCCAAAACGGGCATGAGAGAAAGCGAGAGAGAGAGAGAGAGAGAGAGAGAGAGAAAAAAATAGATCTAGATAGATCGATACATAGATAGCTAGATAGATATAACGATTTGTGAGTTTTTACAGTTTGAGCCGAGAAATGAAGTTGTCTCATTCTGTTGTCTCTGGGGGGCTTGCTTTCCTCGGTCTTCGATGCTCCAGCAGTTGCGAAGCTTCACTCCCATAGCATTGCGACTCCAATAGAAATCGATGTCGACAAAGCAATACCCAGGCATGTCCAATCCATCTCGGATAGCCTTGCGTGCAGCTTTCTTGCAGTCCGTGGCAGCCACAGTGCCCCGAATGCTCTTGTTCGGCTCCTCGGCATCGTTCTTCCTGGACCTTTTCGGTTCTGATCCCAATGCCTTCTGTTGCCTCTTGGAATTGGGGGGGTCGGCTTCCGGCACACTCTCCACAGGGGCCTCCGAAGCATGGTCCTTTGCAGCCTTGGTCCTCTTGGTGGGCTGGGCTTCGGTCCCCGCATCGGGTTGCGATGTCTTTGCACGCTTGCCCCTCTTCTCGGGCCCTTCGGCCGCCACAGCGGCTTCCAGTGCATTGTCCTGCGCAGCCTTGGTCCTCCTGGCCTTGGTGGGCCGGGCGTCGGTCGACACATCAGCTTCAACTGCTGGCTCCTTCCTAGTTTCGGGTGGCTGGACTTCATCCGACACAGCAGCTTTCGATGCTTGCATCTTTGCAGCCTTGGTCCTCGTGGGTTTGGCCTTGGCGGGCTGGGCTTCGCTCGCCTCGGCTTCCGATCCATTCTCCTTTGCATCCTTGCTCCCTTTGGCCTTGGAGGGCTGGTGGGCAAGTTCCGGAGCACCCTTGGTCCTCTTTGGCTTGGATGGCTTGGCTTCGGTTGGCTCGGCTGCTTCGGGTGCAACGTTCTTGGATTTGCGCACGGGTTGGTCGGGCTTCTCTCGTTCATCCGGGGTTTCGGACGGCTTTGGCCCATCCCCACTTGACGTGTCGCCCGTTTTGCCACGTCCTCTTCCACCCCTTCCTCTGCCCCCCCTTCCACGACCTCCCCGGCCGTGACCCGGTTTCTCATCCTCCTGGGCTTTGGCTACTGTCAACATAGCATCCTGCTTTTCCTTTGTCAGAACTTCGTCGGCGGCTGCCTTTAGGGAACATGGTTATTTTAGCACAGCATGCACACACCGATCATGAATCCCAAATCTGAGCACATAATATTTACTAAGAAACAAGTGTGCATGTTTCCAAACCCCCTACCTGCACGTCGTAGCTCTGCGCACGTTCAGCGAAGCTTTGTGCCCTAGCAAGGTCAACACCACGTGACTTTAAAACTTCGGACTCCTTTGCATCCTCAAGTTCAGCTAACCTCTTTGGTTGCAAAACATCAGATTTCCCGGAAGCTTCCGAAGCCACGACTGCTTGCAGGTCCACCGGCTCTGGATCCACCTCCTTCCGGACCTCCTGCCAGCTCTGAACCGCTGCCTCCAAATCGAAAGTTTGGGTCTCCACGCGACCTGGGCATTGGCTGCATTACGTGATTGGGAAGGGGCTCATTTTCAGGGCTTCGAGGATAAACTATAGGTTTCTAGGTTTGGGGGATCCTGCATATACTGCATTACGTGATTGGGAAGGGGCTCACTTTCAGGGTTTCGGGTTTGGAGCGAGGATAAACTATAGGTTTCTAGGTTTGGGGGATCCTGCATATTACTGCATTACACGATTGGGAAGGGGCTCATTTTCAGGGTTTCGGGTTTGGAGCGAGGATAAACTATAGGTTTCTAGGTTTGGGGGATCCTGCATATTACTGCATTACGTGATTGGGAAGGGGCTCATTTTCAGGGTTTCGGGTTTGGAGCGAGGATAAACTGTAGGTTTCCAGGTTTGGTGGATCCTGCATAAACCTATGTTGATGCGTGCAGTCTGGGACTACAAGGAGGCACGAAGAGGTTGTTGGCAAGGTTTTTTTCACTACGAGATACAATTCACACGGGGCTTGAGCCTGGGCCCACATATATCATTAGATAGGGTTTAGAAGGGGCTTTGTAATTTGTGCCTTGTGCGAGGTATGCATGGGTTTCCAGTTTCGGGATTTAGGCTTCGAGTTGCAGAATCAAGATGAGTCGAGTCGGGGGCTTCTGTCTGTGTTCCCTCGGTTCAGGAGTTTATCTAGAGGGCTGCAATTGCTGCAATATGACAGTGACATCCCTGTGGCCAGAAGCGAGCTCGAACAACATGTATTTCAACACCAAGCGGCTGGGATCATCGTGAGCGGGACCACCACGGCGGAAGGTGGTCTTGAGCTCCTCCTTCTGTTGCTTCCTGGGCGAAACATGGATCATCCATGATACCTACATATGGTGTGATTCTCTCATATCCTCCTTGCACTGCATGTGTCCTGCGACGGGTGATTTTTCGAAAACATGTACACACAAACACGCACACATATGCTCGTGTCAGAATGCATACAAAGTCTCAGTTGCAACAGTTGTCGCTTCAAGCTCTCCAGGCGCTCTGAACGTGACACAGATAGCCCAGCTCGGACTGGTGTGGGAATAGGTCGCCTAGGGACCTCCTCATCGTCCGAAACAATCAACAACTCAGGTTGCGCAGATGCTTCAGCCACCGATGCCAGGACAGCACCGTTGTCAGACATGTGCCCTGCAGGTTGCTTTGCACTGGAATCCTGATTCTCAGCCCTTGCATTGCCTGGGTGCACACAGACCTCTGCTGTAGGTTGCTTTGCACTGGAATCCTGATTCTCAGCCCTTGCGTTGCCTGGGTGCCCAGGGACCTCTGCTGTAGGTTGCTTTGCAGTGGAATCCTCATTCTCAGCAGCCCTTGCGTTGCCTGTGTGCACGACCTCTGCTGTAGGTTGCTTTGCGCTGGAATCCTCATTCTCAGCAGCCCCTGCATTGCCTGTGCGGACTACCTCTGCTGTAGGTTGCTTTGCATGGCCCGAATTGGAATCTTCATTCGAGTGCCCCGAAACCTCAAGCTCTTCGTCCTCATCTTGATTGTCTAGTCGACCGTTTATGAAAGGCACAACATCCTCCCCTAGATCACCACCATTCGGGGAGCCCGGCTCGTACTCCTCCTCGTCTAGTACGGGATCTCCAGCTGCATCCTGCGTGAATCGTAAGACCGACGGTCCCTACAAGGTTTTGGAGAAACGTACATCTCCTGAAGACACCTAGCAACAGTCCTCTTCGTTGTCACTGAGCAACTCGTGAACACGGTCAGGGTACCACGACTCAAGCAAGATTCGCTTGAGCTGCCGGTTGTTCTTGTCCTTAGTTGGATGCTTAGGGCTTCGAATGGGGGTTTTATGCATGCACAATACGACGATGCACGGCTTTGTCAGCCTAGGGTCACGTGGCTTGGTGGTCTGGGCCAACCGCTTGATGAAAAAGGAAACGAACTTCCGAAGACCCCATGCATCACACTGAATCTCACCCTTGGTGGATTTCTGGCCGACGAGCTCCCAAAGCTTTTTCACCTGGTGAGGGTGTTTCAAGGTCACTTGCTACTCCTATCAAGTTGGATGTAGAAAAGGACTAACCAAAACCCCCGGCCTCTCCCAGCAAAGAAGTTACTTTTGGTGTCTTTGGAGCTGTCATGCTTGCCGCCCACATACGGAACAGGGGTTCCAAGGTGTTAAAGTTCAGCGAGGCGCTTTCGTACGACGGAACACCGGTAAGTTCAGGCCTGGGCCACTTTAGCACGAAGCTTTCCAGCAACAAGCGACGTCGGGTAGCCGGGCATGCCTCCCATGTGGAAGCCAAGCCCTCCAAGGCATCCCGTTCCTGGGCCCTGCTTGCCATGGTGCACAGCCCTCGAAAGAAGACTAAGCAAAATCCCTCGCAGAGCCCATGCACAGCGGTTCGGTGGCAACTTTAGGGGTTTATGCAGCCCATGCATGCAGCGCACTGCGAAGGACCTGTGAAGCTGCACTGCGCTGGATCCAGGGCTGCTGCAGATTTGCAGAGTGAAGACGAAGCGACCAGGCAGCACCTGCGCACTCGGGGCATGCACACAAAACAACACCATGCAATGCAGCCGGAAGCACACGACCCTCATGTAAACTTTCACCTCGCACACAGCACTGCATGTTCGGTGACCTTTGTCTGATGCCGAAGTCTTGCGAGACAGTATATAAGCACATGCCCCAGTATACAGAAGCTGAAATGTAGGATATTTGGCACTGATTCCTTCAAGACATCCAGCAGAAATCAACTCCTAGCCGTAGGTCCTAGCTCTCGGGGGTCTCACTTCCACCAGGTCCTGCGCTGCCACCTTCACGATCTGAGCTGAGGGATTCCTGAGGAAGAGGGCAGCGTGCTAATTATTATGTGCATGCACTATATGAGCTAAGTATGATTCAAGCGATTATTGCTACAGCTGCTAGGCCCTCTCCATTCCAAGACAGGGCACTGCCGACGAGCCCTCAGTGAGGGATCCTGGTTCATGGAAGGACAGATCGAAAAGGTTCGGGGCCCGAGCCGAGGTGCAGGGCTTCAAGTTCGGGGTTCGGGTTTATGTAGGATTTGGGGTTGGGACACGGAGGAAAATTGAAAACAGCTCGCAAAGGCTTCGAGTGGAAGATGTATGTTGGAAGAATTTACAGTCCTGTGCGATACGACTTAGCAAGATCTCGAGCATAACCACCGATGACATAGTTCAAGAGCACCGTCTTGGCCATGCTCGGCACAACCGTGGAGCCGTCCTGGAAGACACATTGGGGCTGCTGAATTCCCTGGCTGGGCTAACAAATTGATGGGTCCAAGAAGTCCTGCCACCCCGGCACTAGCACAAAGAAGGCTTTCGTCCAGAACTCGACCGGCATATCGCTTAGACCTGCATCGGAATTGTTTTTGGATTTCCCAAAAGAATCATTAGAGCACGCATGATTTCCAGACACCACAGGCCTTCATCCGTGATCTGCCTCCGGAGGCTCAGATCAAGCTCATCCCACCAAGTCATGAATATGAGGCCAAAAACTAGATGACCGGAATCAAATCCTTCAAAGCTTATGGCTGCAGCACTCCAGCACCCAAGTTGCGTTCAAGAGCAGGCGCATGCGTCGCATCAAGTGTGCACAAGCAACTGTGCATGCACAACAGCACATGCAGGGGATGGTGGCACCTCTAAAGCAACGCCAAAGGCACACAGCCATCGGGCAACCACAGCACAGACGTGCACGAGCGAACTAAGACCCCTCATTAAATCACAAGTGAGCCCTTCTTGCGAGACAGCTTCTGAATCTCTGAAATCTAGCGTTTGAAGGACTCCAGAATCCAAAACGGACCTGTCGTCATCCACTCGTGCTGAATCGGCCCTCTCTGAACCATTCTCAGCTGGATTCGAGACACAGGGCTCTTTTCGGGCACAGGTCTATTTTGTACTATGAGACCGAATGAGAGGATAGCCCAAGACCGATTCGGACAGGTCCGAATAAAAGGGCTCGCGGGGAACACCAGGTATAGGGTTTAGGGCTTATAGGGTTTATAGGGTTTATAGGGTTTATAGGGTTTAGGATTTATAAGGCTTATAGGGTTTATAGGGTTAATAGGCTTTATAGGGTTTATAGGGTTTAGGGTTTACCTGCGAGCTGGAAACCCCTTTCAAACCTGGACTCTGCCGGAATGTCGGCCAAATAAAGGGGCCTCAATATAATTGGGGCCCACTATATATTAGAAATAAATTAATAACAATAATAATAATAGTAATAATAATAATAGTGATAGTAATAATAATTGGCATTTGGGGCCATTATATATTATAAAGATAAGAAGGAGTCCCCCAAAAAGTCTTGGTAATTATTTAGGCCCCTACATTAATCAGCGTTGTGAGCAGTTGTTTGTGTTTGCAGCATCCAACTCAGCGGGAAGCGTTTAGCCCCAATCCAAAGCTTACAAAGAACAGCAGCAGAACAGGGCTTCCGAGTTCGCTCATTGGCTTTGGGATAAGATTTCGGTTGTTGGGCTTCAGAGGAGTTGCTGATTCCAGGGTTTAGGACTTTGGGTAATATAGGGGCCTTAATATTTACCTGTACTCTTTCGGGGGTCCCTTATTATAGTTACGGTACAAAAATCCCCAAAGCACCCCGAAAATATGGGTTCTGGGCCAGTGCCGGGCTCCACAGCCCAGACAGGGAGCAACAGACGGCCCTACAGGCTGAACTCTAAACCCAGCGGCCCAGGTCATCTTTCCATGGTTACGGAGCCTCATAGCCGGAGCTACCTGAATGATTCCCTATTTACAAGATCCCATGACCTAGCCACTAGTGTATCAGTTGGAAGTCATTAGGTTTAGCTAGATACTTCCGATTGGGGTGCTCAGTGCTCTACTTATTGTAAGATACTGCGAGTCATCAAGTGGACCCTAACTTCCCTAAGCACGATACAAACTTTCTAGACCCTAGTTGGGACACTTGTTTGAGGCACTCGTAGAAACTTCCTCAATGGCAGAACCTCATCAAAATATCTAAAATCCGTCGCCCCGAATCTCCAAGCCCGAAACCCTAAACCCTAAAACCCCACTGCCGCACCCCTAAGACCTAGACTCCGAACACAGGATTATCCAGCGGTATGTAGCTAAGCTAAGGACCTGCAGGGCTACTTGGCGAAAGACCTGGCGGTCCCGCCTTCTTGGCATCGATGGGCCAAGTGGGGCACTTTCCCCAACTCTAAACTCCAACCCGTAAACCCTGTAAGACTCTGAACCCTAAAGCTCGAAGCCTAAGAGCAGAAACACCAGACCCTAAACTCTACACCCCACACTCTACTAAGCCCTATAGACCCTAAGCCCTGAGGGTTTCGGGTCTTTGGCCGAGGGGTCGACCTAGGCATAGTCAGGGCTTCAGCCTTGCGGAGCTGAGCGTCGAGTTTGGAGAACCCCAAACCCTCAACCCGCAAACCCTACCAGGACCCCAAAGAACCTGCACTTTTTTTTTATTAAATTAAGACTCATGTAAGGAAAGGCTCATAAGGATCCCGAAAAAGGTAGTGTCTTATAATGGTAGACCCTAAACCCAAGACCCTAAGCACCCTAAACCTTAAACCCTAAACCCTAGCCCTGTGCGGGCTACCTGTAGGCGTGGAGTCGAGGGTGTCAGGCACAGGGGCAGTTCGACGGTTTTTTTTGTTTGGGGTTCCTGGGGCTCTTGTTACGGAGTTTGCTTTAACTTACCCTGAAAAGGAAACCGTATTATTGATTTGCTGATTATAGATCCCTGTTATGGTAACTTTAACTAAGTTCCTTAACAAGAGCCCGGTATGGGCGAATGTCGCTGATAGGGGTACCTTGCATGTGGTTCCAGCTGTGCACACAGCGGGTCACCGCACTTATACCAATGCTTGGATGTGCCCATAACCCCCATCAAGTGGGGGCTCAAGATCATTACCCTAAATCCTAAACCCTAAACCCTAAGCCTACGCCAGCCCCAAATCCTCAACGTCTCGATCCCTCAACCCCAAACCCTAGGCTCCAAACCACCCCGCACCTTAGTCCTCCATTCCTGGGCCCTCCTATTACGCCGCTCTCAACATCCGGGAACTTTCCATGTTCAGGGCATACTGACCCTACAATGCCCTGAATTAAGGTTTATGGACTAGGGCCTGAATCTTAAGAGTCTTGAAGACAAGACCCCGAACTCGTAGAGACACAAGGCTTAACCCAAACCCTAACCCTAAACTCCTGAAATAAGACCTTTACAAACTCTAAAGCAATGTGATTGTCTAATTGTCTAAGCAAGGCACGCTGCTGACAGCCCCACAGGAGGAGGGCAATCTCCGCAGTTGCCGGGCTGTCGCAGCTTCGCTGCGGTGTTTTGAGGCTCCAGGGTTTTGGGGCTCCGGGGTTCCCTACACCCTCTAAACCCTAAACCCTCTAAACCCTAAGCCCCTAAACCCTAAACATCCCTAAACCCCTAAACACTAAACCCCTAAACCCTAAACCCGGTTACTGTTGGGGTTTGGGGCTTAGGGCTTTGGATCGCAGCGCTTAGGTTATTCAGAGTTTTTTGCTGCGACAAGAAGTAATGAGGGGGTTCGGGGTTTAAGAATTGGTTTAGGATCTCGGGTTTAGGGTCGAGGGTATGGGTGTTCGAGGCAGAGGTCCAGGGCTTGACGGATGCGTTACTGTAGGGGCCTTATTGATTAGAACAGGGCTTAGCTTTGGAGCATATTCAATATTATACCATAACCAGAATAAGGAAACCCCAAAAGGAGTATAGGTAAATATTAAGGCCCCTACATTAGTTTCAAGGTTTATAGTTTAGGGAATTAAGCAGCGTCGTCTGATGGTTTGGGACTCGGTTCTAAAGTCGAGTTATGGATCTCGGTGGGCAGGACGGCTTAGATTGTCGGGCAGTAGGAGCTGGATAGTATAGGGGCTTAAAAATTGGAATAGGGTGTTGGGATACAGTATACTATAAAAAATGAGGAGCCCCCAAAGATAGTGTAGGTAATTATGTAGGCCCCTGCATGAATTGTAAGTGTAGGTCTCTGGCTTAGTCATTGACTCGGGTTCGATCAAGACGAGGGGTTCGTGAAGCAGGACGGCATCGACTGGGCCTAGAGTAAGGTTGATTCTAACCCCTAGGTCTCAGATGATAAGGCAGCACGGTTTAGCTATGCTTGCGAGATCGGGGATGTCATGTGAACAGAAGTCACCAAACTCCAGGATCTCAGGCTTAAACTTTATGCGCCAAACCTATGCACCCTGCAAGCCCTGTGCCGGTTTGGTGTTTGCCTGAGGGTGGGGTGTCATTGACCCTAATAGATTTCTCCGTGGCCGTTCCAGTAGCATGCAGGGCCTTGCATCCTAGTCCCCAACCCTCAACCGCCTAAACCCTAAACGCCCAACCCCCAAACCCTAAATCTGAAACCCCCAACCCTCCTCAACCCCCAACCCCAATTAAAACCCTAAATCCCTAAACCCTAAACCCCTTAAACCCTTAAACCCCCAAAACCCTAAATCCCTAAACCCCTAAACCCTAAACCCCGAACCCCTTAAACCCCCAAAACCCTAAAACCCTAAACCCCTAGATCCTAAACCCGAAACCCTCCAGTCCATGCTTTTCCAAGGAGCGGAACGTGAAACTCCTGAGACGACTGAAGGCTCCCCCATTCATCGCAGCTTTGGGGTTTAGGGTTCAGGGTTCAGGGTTTAGGGTTTAGGGTTCAGGGTTCAGGGTTTAGGGTTTAGGGGTTTTGGGGTTTAGGGTTTAGGGGTTTAGGGTTTTGGGTTTTGCTCTCTACGCGGCGTTGATAATTAGAACAGGGTTCGTGTCAAAGGGAATGAGGCTTACTATTTAATGGTGCTAATTCAGGGGCCTGAATCACGGCTCAGGGCTTCAGGTTTAGGGTTCAGGGGTTTAGGGCTTAGGTTTGAAGTGCCGGGTCTTCCCAGAATCTTCGTCAGAGTCCGTCAGAGTCGGTTGGGTCGGTACTCCTCCAGTAGATGGTAACGATAATGTTGGGATATCGTCTTCCGTTTCTGCGAAATCACAGCTAAGCCTTTCTACACTACTCGGTGTTTGTGATGTTCATTCTTTGGGCTGGAGACGGTTGAGCTTAAGATGGACAGCCACGGTAACTGGCTGCTTTTGCAGCTCTCCGAATGAACTCATGTCCGTTGGCATGTCTGACGGCTATGAACTGCAATGCTCCTGGGACAGCTTGGAGTTTCGTGGCAACGACCTGGATAATTTAGAAGCCCGACTCATTACCAATACTATTCCTTAAAAGCTTCCTCTCATAATAACTTTTGTACTTACATGAATAGTGATTACGACATACCCCACAACCCTATTCTAAGTATTGGGGCCATATTGAAGACTTGGGGTCGGTTTGCGGTTTGTGGAGTCTTCCGGGAAGGCTCAAGGCCACCACATCCTCATCTGGACTGACTCTCGGCCGCAGATTGGGAGAACAGGAAATTCGAATCTTAAGGGTCTACCTGGACCGAAAAGTATGTAG